CTGTTAATGGCTAAGAGTGAGGACACAGGCCCAGTTGCTCCAGAAGCCTGGTGGCTCCTGGCTTCCCTTCACAAATTATTTCAATTACTTCAGATAACTGGAGTGTGTTGCTATTGCTTCCAACTCAAATAAGCCTTGAACAATTAAAACAACAACAAAAATTTGTGTAGCCATTGGGAAGTAACAGAATACCTAACAGTGGCTTAAACAAATAGGGTTTATGTTCCCAACATTTTTGAAATCTAGAGATAGGTGTGTGCAAGAATCAGCTGAGCATCAGTGGCAGCCGAGTGGCTCAGTCAGTTGAGCGTCCGACTTTGGCTCAGGTCGTGATCTCACGGTCTGTGAGTTCGAGCCCCATGTCGGGCTCTGTACTGACAGCCCCGGAGCCTGGAGCCTGCTTGGGATTCTCTGTCTCCTTATCTCTCTCTACCCCTCCCCTGCTCATCTGCCTCTCTCTCTTTCTCTCTGTCAAAAATAAAAAATAAACATCAAAAACAAAAAAAGAATCAGCTGAGCATCTTTGCAACCCTCTTGACCTTTCCCTCAATGAGGCTAGCCATCTGTGCATTCAGGGCACACAGAGGGGGAACGGTGGGCCCAGCCACAGCTGAGCCCTTTGCGGGGACAGCACAGCCTGGCCCCACACGTCCACAACCGGCTCTGCACACACCCAGTTGGCCAGAACTGGGTCACAGGGCCACCCGAGCTGCAAGAGAGCCGGGAAAGTGGGTGCGAGGGATGCTGTCCATCCTCTGATCTCCTCCCCATTTCTGTGCCCTCTTTAATGTGGTTCTGCTTCCAATGGCCTGGCCTACCGATCACCTGGGACTCCAGTGGACCATCCCCAGGTTACAGGAGCCGTTTGCCAGTTGTGTGCCAGAGATGGCTCAACGACTGGCTGGTGTGGGATTGTGAAAGCCCAGCTCCCCTGCCTCTACCTGGGACTAACGGTGTGCATCACCCACCAGGGCTCTCCACGAACCAGGCTGAGCTGGGACTATGGTCTCCTGTTTGACCCTGCTCGCCCCACATCCGTATTGCTCTTCGCTTACCCCACTGCTCACACACAAATCCCCCTCTCGGGGCTGCTCCCGGGAACCCGGCCCAGAGCGCAGGGAGCAGGACTATCATGATGGGTTAGACCGATCATGCTCCGTTGCCTGGGGCTCACAAGCACACGGTTTGGGCTCTGCTAGCTGGGAAGGATGTGGACAGGCGGCTCGTGTTGTCTGCGGCCAGAGCCCATCACAGAAAACGTGAGCAGAGAACTTGGAAGACACACACACTGCAGGTACGAACGTACAATGGTGCAGCCCCTTTGGAAAACAGCCAGGCAGCTCCTCAAAAAGTTAAACATAGAATGACCACGTGACCAGCAACTCCACTCCCAGAGACATGAAAACATACATCCTCACCAAAGCGTGTAAGTGAATATTTGTAGTAGCAATATTCCTGATAGTCAAAAAGTGGAAACAACCTGAGTATCTATCAACTGATGAACGGATAAATAAATGTTGGTATACCCACGCAATGAAATATGATTCAGCCATAAACAAGAATAAAGTAGAGGCACCTGGGTGGCTCAGTCGGTTAAGCAGCAAGACTTCGGCTCAGGTCATGATCTCGTGGTTTGTGAGTTCGAGCCCCATGTCGGGCTCTATGCTGACAGCTCAGAGCCTGGAGCCTGCTTCGGATTCTGTGTCTCCCTCTCTCTCTGCCCCTCCCCTATTTGTTCTCTCTCTCTCTCTCTCTTTTCCTCTCTCAAAAATAAACATTAAAAAAAAAAGATAAACTACTGACAAATGCCACAACATGGATGAACCTTAAATACATTACACAGAGGCCAGACACAAAAGGCCACAAACGGTCAGACTGAATCTCTATGACATGTCCAGTATAGAGAAATCCAGAGAGAGAAAGCAGATTAATGGTTTTGCCAGAGGCTGAGGGGGCAGACTGGATGCTCAGGGGTTTCTTTCAGAACTGATGAAAATGTTCTAGAAAAGATTGTGGAGATAGCTGCATGATTCTGAAAATACTAAAAACCCTTCAACTGTATACTTTAAATGTGTGAATGAAATGGTATGTGAATTATATCTCAATAAAGCTATTGCAAATTCACACACAAGCAAAGAAGAGAAAGACAGGAAAACACCCTCCATTCCACTCCCCAGAGCGAAGCCACTGTTAACATCTCAAGCCAGGATATAATTTTAGCTTCTTTTTTACTCACACATACATCTCACCAATATTGTATTGGAGGAAACCTGATAAGGATTTCAAGCCAAAAAACAAAAACAAACAAACAAACAAAAAAAACTTTCAGCAAAAGCTATGAAGCAAATGCATACAACTTGTTGGGAGCATCAACCCTATTCCTGTTCTTGGTCAAGGCTGTTCTCTATTTGCTTTGCCCTGATTTGTTACCCAGTTTATTATCTTCAGGGCCCTCAATAGGCAGGCCATCCTCCCAGCCCCATTCTGTAGCCAAGGCAACTGAGCACAAGGCATTTTCACACCCATCCTGATTCCTTCCCAGCGTGGGGACCCAAAGCCATCCATCACGGGTGAAAAGCTGGGGGCTGTGGAGGGCACCCACGCAGGCCTGGGCAGAATGAAGGGGAAAGCATCTGATTTGGTCCAGAAACACCCATCCAACTTGTAGGGAGAGGGTAAGACAAGACGACCGCAGGAGGACCCGGTAGGTCTCTTTGAGGGGTCCATGCCACCGACCTGTGCTCTCCAGGGTCCAAAAGGCTGGTGGGGGGTGGCTGGCCTGTTTGCGCTGGAAGCACTTAGTGCAGCCACACTGAGCCGCACTGTTCAAACAGACTCCCGGCCTCCAGACACCTGTGCCGAGGAGGACGAGGAGGGCGAGGCAGGCAGGAGGCTGGGCACGGGTCCCCGGGCGCTTCCCCCCTCTCAGAGGCAGCCCCGCAGCCCCGGCAGATTCCCGGCCACACCATGCCCCAAGCCAGGCTCTGCAGCTGCTGGGGTGGCCGGGTGCTGCCCCTGCTGCTGGCCTACGTCTGCTACCTGCTGCTTGGTGCCACTGTCTTCCAGCTGCTGGAGAAGCAGGCGGAGGCTCAGTCCAGGGACCAGTTCCAGTTTGAGAAGCTGCGCTTCCTGGAGAACTACACGTGCCTGGACCAGCGGGCCCTGGAGCAGTTTGTGCAGGTGAGAGGGAGGTGCTGGTGTGGGATGGTGGGCAGAGTGGAGGTTCTCGTGGCAGATCCAGGGCGATCAGCCCGGGGAGGGGTGGTTAATGCTTGTTTGGAAGCAGTGTAGAGCGGGAACAGAGACCTAGGGAGACCTAGGGCTGGATTCTGGCCCCAGGTCTAGAACCAGATTGCTGTGTGACACTGAGCGGGTCACTCAAACTCACTGATCCCAAATTTCCTCATCTAAAAGGTGAGCCGAATGATCTCAGAGGTGCTGCAGACATTTACAGCGGATCAAAAGCGCTTTTCAAGCAGCCACTTGCTGCATAAATGTGAACTGTGTGTCAGTGTTAGCAACACTGTGCAAATTTCCTTCTCCCACGCGCCATACTTCCCCTACCCCAACCCCGGGGCTGCTAATCCTTCTGTCCTCACCCCCCTCACTTCCCCCTGCGGACCACACTCAAGGGCTGTGGGTGGGACACACAAATTACGGTCAGGAGCAGCTGCCATGCTGGTCTTCCCCGGCCCAGTGAGCAGGATGAGCAGGATGATGGCTACACCAGCAAGGCGTCCATAGGGGGCTCTCTCTGGGGCAGAGCATGTCCCCCTATGTCTGGGCCCCTCCTACTTCTCTGCACAAACTCTGGAGCCCCAGTACCCTCTCTCCAAGAAGCATGGCAAAACCAGGGTGTTGTGAATGCCTTGGAGACCAGGGGGCCCAGTGAAAAACAACAGCCACCACAAAGGAACAAGCCAAGTGCAGAGTCATCAGAGTGATAATTGGCACTTAGTGAGCATTTACAAGGTGCCTAAGACAGTGGGGAACAAGGTCATCATGCTGGGGTTAGACCGGTCATGATCCATCCTCTGGAGCCAAGAATTTTATATGTGTTTCTTCATAATGACCTATGGCTATCACTGTCTCCAGTTGGTAGGTGGAAACCGGGCCACAGAGAGGGGGAGTGTGGGCAAGACTGCAGGCTTAAGTACTGGGGACAGAACTCACCCCTCAGCTGGCTGCACTTCACCATACAAATTAGCATAAGTGTAAGGCCTTGGGGTGGGCAGGATACAGCCTAGAGCAGCAGTCCTCAAAGTGCGGCCCCTGTACCCGCTGCATAAGCATCAACAGGGAGTCCTTTAGAAATGCCGACATCGCACCCCACCCCAGGCGCTCCAAATCAGGAGCTCTGGGGGCAGGACCGGCAGCCTATTGTTAACAAGCCCTCCAGGCCATGCCCATGCCCTCAAGATGGAGAACAGCTGACTTAGAAGAGGATAGTTGGGTGGGGTGGTCAGAGAGAACTTTCCAGAGATGTGAGAGACCAGTCCAGGCCCTTTCTTCCAGGAAACGAGGCCTCCTTGCTCTCCAGCAGTACAGGGCTGGCACCATAGCACCCCTATTAAGACTGAGAAGGGCTCTGGCACCTCCCAAGACCCTCGCAGGCCCTGGAGCCCATGGCACCTCCTCCTCCCTCAGCCTAGGACTAGACGCAAAACCCAGGAGCCTGAGGGTGTGGGAAGGATTGGTGGCTGGGATCTAACTAGCTCTGTAAACAGAGCTAAAAAACAAGCCTAAAAAATAGGCTTGACTGCAGCCCCAGCCACTGAATAACAACACCCTGGCCCTGGCCTCCCCAGGGGAGCCAAGACACCTCCGTCTTCAGTTTCCTTGGGAGGGACCCTCACTTGCCAGGGGATGGATGCCTGGCTGACAGGAATAGGATTCCAGAAGAGCACACATTACTGGTAAAATTCACAAGAGGAAAAAGCCATTAACAGTACCAGAAGCAGTGTTAGAGACGCCTCCACAGGAAAAAGGCCTTGCCCCGGTTCACAGGATTCGTGTCTGGCTTTTTCTACATGTGTGGATTCTTACAGAAAAATGGAGGGTCACACTGGGGGCCCCACATTCAGTACCCTCGCTGAATCAAGGCCCCTCCTCGGCAGGATGGAGTGCTTCAGGTTGGCTGTGGGAGACAGCTGGGCCTAGAGCAAGAGCTGCTCCCAAGGGTGAGGGTCTCCAGGGAGTGATCGTGTTCCGGAATGTTCCGTCCTGGCCTCTCTGGGTGTGTGGGAACGGGAGGGAGACCAAAGTCCACATGTGAAGAGACCAGTTCTGCCAAAGTGAAGAAAAGCAGACAGCCTGTGTCAGGACTCCCAGACTGGCCCAGCCTACCAGGGCCACCCCCACCCTGGCCAGGAGCACACACACCCAGCCAGTGGGGAAAAGGTTCCCACAGGAACTGGAGGCCGGAGTGGCCCCCTCCCCCACTGCCCTCTTCCAGCTTTGGGTGCTCTATCAAGTGGCAAGACTGTGCTGCTGCCTGGGACAAGGCATGGTCACAGGGGAGGGAACTGGGGAGGGATCACTAACCATCTCCAAGAGGGCTGGGCCTCGGGACAGAGGGGCTTACGCTTGAGCCTTCCAGGGTTCAGATTCCGTAACCACACACTCAACACACATGCACATGCATGCATACAACACACGGCACAGAAACACCGCTACACACACGACCTTTGCCCTGGTGTCTGATGGAATTTCTCTTGTAGGCATGGGCTGGGCCTCATGAGGGGGCAGCAAAGAGCAAGGCTGCCCGCTCCCTGGGAATACCCAGAACGGGGTTCTCTGTCCCCACCATCAGCCCTGCGGGAGGGCAGCCCCATGGCTTCCCTGTGGCCCCCCAAATCTACATTCCCCAGTAAGCTCTTCCGGGAACATCCGACCCGGAATCTTCCTATTGTCCTCACAACACATCTACGTCTCACCCTCTTGGCCACAGAAAGCACCTCCCACCTGGACCACTCATTAAGCACCCTCCTCTCCCTCCTTACACCCGTTCCCCTCCACCAGCCCATGTTTACAGCCCACACCTCAGTCAGCCCTGGTCCATGGAACAAGCAGTGGACTTGGGCAAGGCATTTAGCTACTTGGACAGAGCCTACATTTCCACAAAATGGAAACAAGACCATCTAAGAATATCATTAAGTGAGATGACAGCAGAGAGCTTGGCCACCATCAGCTGCCTCTTTCTCCCACCCCACACCACCCCCCCCCCCAACAGGTGATCATGGAAGCCTGGGTGAAGGGTGTGAACCCCAAAGGCAACTCCACCAACCCCAGCAACTGGGACTTTGGCAGCAGTTTCTTCTTTGCAGGCACGGTTGTCACCACCATAGGTAAAGGGTCTGGGTGGGGAAGGGCTTCCCCAAAGTCCCTGTTTTGGTTGCGGTTGCTGAGAGCAGATGCTGAGACCAGGACTGTGGTTTATTTAGGAGATGATTCCAGGAAGCACAAGTAGAGAAGTGGGGAGGTAAAGCAAGAGAGGAGAAAGGGCAGCAACGTTTGCATGGGTGAACAGGGTCCCAGTTAGGACAACTGGCCTCGCTCCCACGGGGGCCCTCTGAGAGCACAGGCAGAGCCCAGCCTCCGAACATTGCCTGTGAGGGGGGAGGAAATGAGGCTATTTATCTACCAACTCCTGCCCTCGATGGTTGAGAACTGACCCCGGATGTGTTAACTCTAGTATTTTGAACCTGCCCATAGACTACGCACGTTCTCAGGTACAGAGAGATGCAGGGACTTGGAGTAGAGAGCCATCTGGGTGGACAGGAACTGTCCCCCAGGCTGCAGGTGATGCCCCAGCTGTTCTGAGGGGACAGCACACCAATAGCATCTGCTGTGTTCCCTCACCTCCCCCAGGGAAAAACTAGACAGGAATGACACAAAGCACTATGAGGAATCACTCCACGTAGGCAGGAGGAGGGTGGCAGTCAGGAGGGCTTCCTAGAGGCAGTGCCATTGGAGATGGGCCTTTCAAAGACAAGCAGGATTCTTACAAATAGAGATCATTCTAGCAGGGGCTGGGGGGAATGTTCTTGGGAAGAGAGGAGCTTCTCCTCTACTCCAGGAGGTGATGGAAGATGACCACCTAGAGTCTGTGGGGGAGGCAGCTCTGAACTCTCTCTTTCCCATATTTGCACACTCCTCCCCTCCCCCCGCAGGATACGGCAACCTGGCGCCCAGCACGGAGGCAGGCCAGGTCTTCTGTGTCTTCTATGCCCTGGTGGGCATCCCGCTCAACGTGGTCTTCCTCAACCACCTGGGTGCAGGCCTGCACGCCCACCTGGCCGCCCTCGAGAGGTGGGAGGAGCAGCCCAGGCGCTCCCAGGTAGGGCCCCCTCTTCCTTATGGCCCTGTGGCGGGGTGAAAACAGAAACTGATACCGAGGCGCGGTTTGGCAGGCAGGGTCTTAGGGGTAGAAACTCATGGAAGAAAGGGCGGGGCAGAGGGAGAAGTTGAATTGTGATCAGGCTAGACAAAGACTTGGCCAGCCCCTCGTGGAGCTCTCCAGCGTGTGTGGCCATGGGAGTTGTCCCACAGGGTGCTGAATCAGCCAGGGCTATATACCCTGGCCTCAGTCAGACACAGGGTGGCCTTCTTGGGAAGGGTGTGCCTGTGGGCCCGGCGGTTCTCTGTAGCTGACATACGCCTCAAAGGAGCCGGGAGCCAGAGGCCGCTGGCTGACTGCTAATCAACAAGGTCTCCTTTGAAAGGGAATCTGGACAGCACATCTCTGTGGCCATCACAGAACTCCAGCACCCCTTCCTGCGGTTGAAAGTAAACTTTGGGCCACCCAGCACACCCCCATCGCCCACCCGTTTGGCTAGCCCTTTGCAAAGCCAGCACACTAAGGAGGACTGGGGTGCAGAAGAATCTGGGGCAGTTCAGTGGCTGTCCTCTGTCCCAGCTCTGAGTCTCTGACAGGTCTACCCAAGCGTGATCCTCAGACCCAAAGGAGTCTCCAAATTCCAACCTGACCCACTAATGAAATCCCTCTGACCAGATATTCCCCTGGCCTGGGCAAGAGCACACACACAGGATACAAACACTAACCCAAAGGTGTGCAGCGCAAGGAAGGGACATAGCTACGGCCCAGCTGCACTCCCAGATTTGCGCACTCCCCCTGCCCGATCCTGGGGCCTTCCAAGTGACTCAGAGACAGACTCTCTCACTCCCAGCTGCTGCAGATCCTGGGCCTGGCTCTGTTCCTGACCCTGGGGACGCTGGTCATTCTCATCTTCCCGCCAATGGTCTTCAGCCACGTGGAGGGCTGGAGCTTCGGTGAAGGCTTCTACTTTGCCTTCATCACTCTCAGCACCATTGGCTTCGGGGACTATGTTGTCGGTGAGAACAAGGCAGTCACACTTCTCCGAGTGGGGGCCATGAGGGTTAGGGAATGGGGAAATAGTCCCTGGTTGTTTGGGGGAGACAAATAATTTGTAAGGCTTCTGAGGATTCTCACAACATCCTTAGACATCTGTGGCCTGGGACCCATCACCCTTTCCCTCCACTGCAGATCCTTGTTATGGGGAGGCTGGAGAAGACCCCTATGGAACCTGGGAGGGGGTGTGGCTGTGCCCTCAGATCCCGGGCATTTATCATGTCCCTTCCCTGCCAGGTACAGACCCCAGCAAGCATTACATCTCGGTGTACCGGAGCCTGGCAGCCATCTGGATCCTCCTGGGCCTGGCCTGGCTGGCTCTGGTCCTCCCACTGGGTCCTCTGCTTCTGCACAGGTGCTCCCAGCTCTGGCTGCTCAGCAGGGGACTCGGCCTCAAGGAAGGGGGAGCCCCCGAGATGGAAGGGGTCCCCAGACCTCAGAAGACCCCCATCTCTGCATGAGGCCTCCAGCAACCCCAGGAGCCCCTCCTGCTTCCCCTACCCCTATATGCCTTCTAGACTTCCTGTTCAAGATCCTCCCCCTCCTCTTCCCAGCCAGGGCTGATCTCAGGATCTCTCCAGAGAGTAAAGGAGACAGGAATGTTCAAGCAAGTAACTGAAAGGAGATGCAGGACAGGATGAGAGACGTGTGTGGAGTGAGATGCACGCTGTTGTCCCAAAGCCCCTCCCCCAAATGTGACCTGGAAAAGTTGAATCCAGACATGGATCACTGTAGCCAAATCTCCATCATGCCCTCCCTGCATTCCCCCCAACCCAGGAGACTTTATGCAGTACAGTAAACATAGGTTGACTTTATTTTCACCTCATTTGATATGTGCACCAGGGGCATTTGTCAGGCCCCCACTGTGTGTCAGGCAGAGGGCCAGGCTCTGGGGACACACAGTGAAAGATCCTGCTCTCCATGTGCGTTTAGTCCACTAGAAGCACTAAATAAGCAGAGAGGCCCCTACCCAGTGCCCAAAATGCTACAATGGGGCAGAGCAGGCCTGACCAGAGCCCATAGGGGTGGCTGGTGGGGAGGGTCAAGGAGAGAGGAGGGCTGGGGAGGGACTTTTGGAGCATCTTCATGCAAACAGGACATCTACCCTCAGGAATCTGGCAGCTGCCTCTCAAAGCCTGCCAGTTCCCCTTGCCTAGAGGTCTAGAGCTGTCCGTGAACAAGGCTTAGGAGCTCTTGTGTATCCCATACCTTCCTGAGTGTGGCCTCCCCTGACTCCCCAGGGCACCCCTTGACCTCATCACCCCCTCTGGGTGCCTGTCTTAAGAGCCTTTCCAAACACACCCAGAGACAAGCTCCGTGGAGGCCTGGCCTCCTTTAGGAACATGCTCTGCAACCCCGGCCCTTCTCCTGCCAGACTGTGACGTCCCTGGCCAGAAGGAGAGGAGAGATTTAGACCAGTCCATCCACAGCCCGACTTCATCAAGGACTTCAAAGCTCTGCCCCTACCTCTGCCATCAAGGCAGGCCGGTAAGTGGCTGGGTGGCTCCGGACTCCCAGACTCCAGACTGAGGCAAGGCTGTGAAGCAGAGAAGGCTCCAGATGGGACACATAGGGAAGGATCTACAGCATTGAGAGACCCAGGTTACACCCAGGACTTCCTCATATGGAGAAGAGGTCTGGGAAACTGAAGACCCCTGAGGGACTCCTTATATGCCCTGGACCCTTCCTCCTCCAGGAAGGAAGTTACCGGGCTTCTTCAGAAGCAGGAAATGGACAAGCCCACTGGTCAAGAATCCTCTCGCCTCCCAAGTTCATAGACAAGTGGTGATCAGCTGGGGTCCCTCATCTTTGGGAAAGGAAAGGGTGGTGTTGCAAGAGATCCAGGAAGGACTTGACAGGAGGCAAGGGTCCCAGGGTCCAAGAGCTTAGGCTGGGGCCCTAAGACAATAAACTTGGCTTCTACTTTCTCTTCCCCCTTGAGTGCGGTCTCGAGGAGTCCCTCCCACTGTTTGCTACAGTAGGACACGCTGGGGGGCTCTGGGCCCCTTCCACCTCAGAGCCTGCGGTCTCCCAGCACCCCTCCCCTTCCCCTGAGCTAGGCCTGGGGGGTGAGCACTCCACACACATTCTAGGCGGGGCCAGGTGCCCACAGCTTGGGGCTCGTTTTGTCCCTGGGATTGGATCCCGGTGCAGGGTGGGGCAGGGCTGTCCCATTCTCCCGCAAGCCTCCTGGGCACAGGAGAAAACTGAGAAAACTGGGCACAGGCAGGCGCTGGCTGGGGAGGGCACCAGCCGAGCTCCTAGCCCCTTCCTTACGCCTCTGCCCTAGGCCATGGCTCCAGGCCCTGGCCTCCCTGCCTCTCTGGCTCTGTGCAGACCCCGAACCCCGGCGGCGCCCGACGACAGGGCTCCACACTGCGCCGTGCCGGGCACCGTGCTCCTGCTGCTCGCCTACCTGGCTTACCTGGCGCTGGGCACCGGCGTGTTCTGGGTGCTGGAGAGCCCCGCGGCGCGTGACTCCAGCGCGAGGTTCCAGCGCGAGAAATGGGCGCTGCTGCAGAACTTCACGTGTCTGGATGGCCCGGCGCTGGACTCGTTGATCCGGGTCAGGGGCGAGCGGAGGCACGGGCGGGGGGCGGGAGGGCACGCCCCGGGTCTGGAGAGAGGAGGCGGGGATCGACGCGGGACGACTAGAGCGGGCGGGGGATGGGAGGGTTGGGCTGGACGGCCGCGGACCCGGCTCCGGGGCGGCCGGAGGGAAGCGCACCTTAGCGCCCTGTCCTCCTTTAGGGCGGAGAGGGCACAACCCGCCCGGTCCGGACGGTTGCTGGGCGCAAACACCCTACTTTGAGCACGGGACGACAGGGGGCGCGCCTAGCCGGGTCGGGCCGAATGGGGGCAGGGCGCGCTGGACAGTCCTGGGAGGTGGCGGGGCAAGGGTCCCACTAGGACCGCGCGGCGCTGCGTCGGGGTCGCCCCGCGGGCGAAGGACGAAAGGGCACGCCCGACCCCTTCCAGAGAGAGTGCAAACAGGAGAACTGGGGGCGAGGAGCAGTGTCAGAGGAGGAGCAAGACTGAGGGCACGGTTGGAGTCTTGGGGGCAAAGGGTACAGGGCGCGCTCGTCCCAGCGGGTGAGTGGAGGGGAGCTCGGAGCTCCCAGGGATCAGACCCGATCGGGAACTAGCGGGGGCAGACACAGGGGCGCTCTTCGGCTGAACCCGTTTTACTCCTGTCTTCCAACTCAAGGGCTAGACGCGGAGGGGAGGTGCAGAGATCTCGGAGCACGGAGACTGCTCTGGGGGGTGGGGACCCAGAGGGGCGGGGGGGGGGGGGAGGGGAAAGGCTGAGGAGGCTCTTAGGAGCGGGGCATCGCAGCTGGGTGGAGGTGTCCTTCGACTCGGGGCGGGGCCGCGCCGGCCTGGGACCTGCGGGATTTGGCGGATGCTTGATGGGCAGACAGGCTGCTGTGCCCCTAGCCCCGATTCCGCGTCCCGCAGTCCCGGTGCCGCCTCCATCGAGGAGGGCAGGGCCTGAGTGCCAGAGTCGCCAACCCAAAGCCAGTCCCCAGAAGGTAGCAGGGAAATGTCCCTGGGTGGGAAGTGACATGGCACTGGGGCAGTGGTAGAGTCCTGAGCCCTTGGACTGGGCTGATGGTGTAGGGCCTGGAGCTGGGCAGGGGAAGGACGGTCTCCGCTAAGGACCTCATGTAGCACCTCCACCGCCCCCACCTCTAAACTTTTACAAACACCACAGGCTGCCTGGTCCTGGAGGCTGGGTGACACCCCCTTTGCAAAGGTGGAGAATTTCAATTCCAGGCAGCGTAGGCCCAGGGAAGAGGACAGTGATGGCAGTGATAATGGTAAATGCTTCTGTGTAGCACGTACTGTGTGTGGAGCCTTGTTCCTAGACTATTAACTTGTATTAACTCCTTTCCTCCTCACCTACCTCACAGGTAGGTACCATTTTATCATCCCCATTTTCGAGATGAAGAAACTGAGGCTCAGAGACGTTAAATACAAATACATGAATGGCTGCACAGCCAGGGATGGGCCTGTTAACCGCCAAGATGGATCTCAGTGCAGATGTGTGTATGTGGGTGTTTCCCACCTTTCCTCACAGGGCTTTCATTTCTGTACACTTCCCCCACAACCCCCTTCAGCTGCCCCTGCACTTTTTTTTAAGTGCTTCTTTATTTCTTTTTGAGAGAGAGACAGAGAGACAGAGAAAGGGGAGGGGGAGCAGAGAGGGAGGGAGAGAGAAAATGCCAAACAGTCTCTACTCTATCAGCTCAGAGCCCGATGTGGGGCTCAAACCCACAAACTGTGAGATCATGACCTGAGCTGAAGTCAGACACTTAACTGAGTGAGCCACCCAGGTGCCCCTCCTCCTGCACTTTACCCCTTCTTCAACCATCCTGTGGCTTTCACCATCCCCAAAATAAGAATGTGGTGTCTCCAACCCAGATCCCCCCGAGGGTAGACACGTGCGTACAACTTCCTCAGATCCCCCCAAAGCAACAACCCTCCTCCTCCCAGCCGGGCCCTTCCACCTATTCTAAAAGTCTGTCATCCAGCCCGCATCCCCACACCCTTACAGGGGTTTCGATGCTTCCCTGACTACCCACACCAAATAGCACCAGAGTCCTAGATTTCTGAGTGTCTCCTCTCTGTTCCTCCTGGCCCACTCTGTGCTGGATGCAGGCCAGGCCCTCGCCATCACTCACCCCTCAAGAGTCTCTCCTCTTCTGGTGTGCTAACACCTATGCTGCCAGCTTCCAGGGAACACACAGACCTGCTCTTGCCTCCTCTTTGCTCACTGACCTTGGAAGAGGCCTGCTGTTCCATCCCTGGCATGGCAGAGCCAAGCGTGACCTGGCTCCCAGCTGCCTCTCCGTCTCCCTGTACTAGATCCCAGGCACAGTCCTGTCTCCCAGGCTTTGCTCCTGCTGTTCATCTACCTAAATGTCCCTTCTACCAGGAGCAGTCCTTTTTGACCCTCAAAGAAAGCCCAACTAAAACATCACCCCCTCTGTGCACCTTCTGCTTCTACCCCCGTCAGAATAAACATCCTTCCTCTCAGTATTCCTACAGCATTATACTGGTAATAATGTTGATGATGGCAACCACTACCACTTACTACGTCCCACGTACTGTTCTAAGTCTACACCAAACACCTCACTGTACCTTCACAAACAATTCTATGAAGCAGGTGCTATTACTATTCCCATTTTGCAGATAAGGAAACTGAGGTACAGAGAAGCTGGGTATCTTGTCCAGGACCATGCAGCTGTACTGCCTTAATGCCCAAAGCTGTACTGACTGTGCTGTATTGGTTAAATCTGTCTCTGACCCACTGAGGACTGACACCCCATGTCCTGCCTGGCCAGTGTCCGTTGCAAGAATGGGAGGGAGCAAGAGAAGGGGGAAAAATGGTGTTCTTCCAGCTGGTGAGACATCCTGAGCTGACCTGGGCTCTGGGGTAGAGAAGGAAAGGATCTCTCTCCATGGTCCCTGCCCCTGGGGAGGCCCTGATTGGACAGGAAGAGCCTGCTTGCCCTGGAAGGGCTGAGATCAAAGAGTGGTTGTGATGATTGTCCATGAGTGTGTGTGTATGTGTGTGTGTATGCACCCCCATGCATGTGTATTCATGCACACATGTGTATGTGTTTGAGTGCAGGGGCCCAGTCGCCCCACAGACCATGGTGGTCACTGCAGCCTCTCCCCCAGGGCATCGTCCAAGCGTACCAAAGTGGGGACATCGTCCTTGGCAACACCACCAGCATGGGGCGCTGGGAGCTCGTGGGCTCCTTCTTCTTTTCTGTGTCCACGGTCACCACGATTGGTAAGAGCAGGATGGGGCCAGAGTGGGGTGGGGAGTGTGACACCCCCCCCCGAAAGACAGGGGTCAGGGGACCGGTGCCTTTTGGAAGAGTTACTAGGTCACTAGACTCCAAGTACACTCAGGCCCAGCAGCGTGGCCACCATCTGTGGGCAGAATCTGGGGCCGACCTGGGATTTGCTGAATCCAGTTCTGCATTTTACTGAGGTCTCCAAGAGATTTGTGTGCAAGACGACATTTGAGTAGGGCTGCTCTTGGGGGATTTCTGCCCCACACAACCTTTCAGGACATAGACAGCCCCCGTGTAGCAGTAAGATGTGTTTCAGCTCTCTAAGTCTCCTGGTCCCCTGAGCCAAGCCCACCCAACACTGGGGATGTGGAGGGCAAGGGAAAATTGGGAAGGAAGGAAGGGCAGAAATCCAAAAAGACCCTTTGCATCCCCTGTTCTCAGTGTTGGGGAAAGGTGGCCATTCCTGGAGGCCTCTCCCCAGCTCACTAAGGCACCCCTCGCACCCCATCGCCATTATCTCCAAGCCCCCTTCCTCCCTCACACAGAGAGCCCTGGGACCAGATCTCCCTCCCGTTTCCTTAGCCCAGCCTTCAGGAGAGTGAAGGTGGAACCAGCCCTGGGAGAGTGCCTGGGGGCTGTTGGAAGGGGAAGTAGGAGAGCAGCCTAGGTCCCTCCAGCTCTGAAACCCAGGAAATAACTCAAGTCCAGAGCCCCATCCCCCTTCTCTGGCGGAGGCCCCGCTCCTGCATGACCCTGGAGTTACCACCAGGTGGCAGGCGGACACCACTGCTGGCCAGGGCGACCTCTACCAGCTCTCGGCCAGCCAGGATCCTCTCCCCAGCAACCAGTGTCCCAGTCTCTGTCCCCCCCAACAGGGGAGCCAAGCAGGAGCTCCCAGCGGACTCTGCTTAGCTTTAAATCAACCAATACTTCTTGGAAGCGGGTCTCAGGGCTACACAGGGGCTTGGGTAGTCCTCCACCTTGAGGCAAGCATGCTTGGGAGGCCCCTGAGACTCCATGGACCCTGTGGCCGTGGAAGAACTAGCCAGGATGGTATTTATTCATCTTCACGTCCCCTGGGTCTACAGGGCCAGCATACAGTGGGCACTCAAATTCCCAAAACACCCATCCCCTCCAGCCCTTAGTGATTCCCAGGGCAGGGGGGATGTTCGATGCAGAGTCACTGTGGGGAGGCGTCCTAGCTGTGTGGGGGGTCTGTAATCTCTGAAGCCCATACCTCCTACACCCTTGGTCCATTGAATTCCGAGTTTGGCAGCCCATCCCTTTGTTTTTACCCGGTTCTGCCCTAAAGCTATCTGAGCCAGCTCTGAAGGGAAGGAGGGCAGAGGAAGGGGGAGCCCAGCCCTCCCTGCACACGTGGTCTACTTGTACTAGGCACCGTGAGGGGCACTTCTACAATTGAGATTTCATTTTGTCTGTATGGTCCAGCTTCCAAAATAGGGCTTATTATTTCCATGTCACGGAGGAGGAAACTGAGGCACACAGAAGTTGCCCTTTCCCCAAGGAAAGTAAGCAGCTATGGGGTTTGAAACCCAGCTGGGGGACTACCTTGCTCTTTCCAATAGTGCCTGCCTTTAGAAGGTTTACAAATACAGTGGAAATTCTAAGCAACAGGAAGAAGGAGAGAGCCATTCTAGGGTGAACAGGGGGAAGTTCATGACCTGGTGATTCTGACCACACACACACACGCACGCACGTGCGCAGAGGGCATGCAGAGAGAGGAGGAGAGGAAGGGAGAGGAAGATGGGGTACATGTGGAACACTCCATGAAGGAAGGAAGGGGTACCCTGAGGGGCACAGCAGAGGACTGCCTCCTTGGCGTCCCTGTCATCCTGGGTCTAGTACCCTGTAAGGGTTGTACTTTCCAAGCCCCAAAATGAAATAATGTCTGACAGGCCCATGAACACCTCTAGACCAGCTGGACAGGCCTGAGCCCTGCCCCCCCCCCAGATTGTCCATCATCTATGAACTCCATCCATGGCTTGTTCATTTGTTCACTCCTCTAGCCATCCAGTCATTCAACAAATAGACTTAGTAGCTGGGGGAGCCAGAAAATTCTAGTGAGACAATGGTGAGCAAAACTGGTTAAGTCCCTGCCCTTGGGGGAGCTGATGTTCTAGTGCAAGAGGACACCCAACAAGCAAACAGATACATAGGCAATATTCAGGTGGTGGGAGGTGCGTAGAGAGAAATAATGCCAGGGAAGGGAGTCTCATAGTGATGGGGAACTATTGTATATAAAGTGGCCTTTGAAAGCCTTTCTGTAATGGTAACACTGAAGCAGAGACATGAACGGAATAAGGTAGAAAGCTGTGTAAGTAGCTGGGGAAGCAAATGCAAAGACCCTGAGGTAGGAGTGTTGCTGATGGGCTTGGGGAACAGTAAAGAGGACCAGGTGATTGGAAAGGGTTGGAAATGAAGGCTGACTTCAGAGGAGGTACAGGGCAGCCCAACCACACAAGGCTTTCCTGGGATGTCCTAGGGGTCGACTAGCAAAGTGAAAGAGGTGACAGATAGGAGACCTGCTGAAGGGAGAGGTGGCTTAGATGGAGCCATGGTCGCTGAGAATTGAGCAGGCAAATGAGGGCTTCACTGATATCCACCGACGGCGCTGAGCTAGGGCTGGCTGAGAATGATGGGGAGAAGAAAAACTCACTTAATGTCAGCCTGAGAAAGGGAAAAGCTTCATGGGGGTCCTCCCAGACTTGGAATCTAAGTGCTACCATTCCACAGGTTAGAAAAGACCCCAAGGGACAGACGATAGCACTGGGAGGACCCACGGTTAGAAGAGGAGGGGTCAGTGAGGAGTCAGGCATCTCTGGATGCCAATAGAGTTCCCTCCTCTAAATGAACCTGTAAAAGCCAATTAGGCGAAGAATGGATGAGGCTCTAAAAGAGGTTGCTGAGGTCCTCAGACCACAAGCTGGTGGAGTGGAGTTCAATCATTCATCCATTCATTCATGTGGCAAACATTCCTTCCACACCTTCTGTCTATTACAGGCTTGAGGGCTCACATTCCCATCTATGGCACACTGCCATTGCCTCCTTTTGTCCCGCATGCAAACACTGTGAGGTAGATGTCAACATCCCCATCTCACAGACAGGGAAACAGAAGCTCAGAGAGGCCAAGCCACTTCCCCAAGGTCCCACAGCCTTCAAGGGGCAGAGCTGGGATCCAAACCCAGGAAGCACTTCTGATTCCAAAGCCCATGCTCTAAATTAGTGCATGCTTTGGCCTCTCTTGGGACCATCCCCTCTGAGACCCCTCAGTAAGGCGAGGGTCAGTGTAAACCACCAATTTCAATCCAGTACAAGTGAGCGTGGAGTATGTGGGAGTGCTGACCAGTCTGGGCAGGGGGACAGGGTGCAAGGCATCCCTTCATCTATTTATACATTCATTCCCGCATTTCCCATTCATTCATTCATTCATTCTTAAACTCATTCAACACACATTTGGTGAGCACCTAATTAGGTATCAGATCCTGTGCCAGTTGCTGAGAATATAAAGCTGATTATGACCCCCTGCTTTTGAGGGGCTCATGACTCTCGAGGATGGCAGACTTGGAACAGATCATTCTTATACAGTGGGTTACCCTCAAAGATGGCCAAGTGCTGGGGGAGCTGCCATTTATAGGCAGGCAAGGAGAGTCATGTTCAAAGGCACAGAGGCAGGAGGGGGCCTGGGGATTCAGCAGGGCAGGAGTGTGGCCAGAACTGGGAAAGTAGGGGACCAGATGGGCTCAGAGATGGGCTGGGTGAGACTTTGGACCTTCCAAAGGAACAATGATGGGTCATAATCTGGGAGACGATATAGTCAGGCTTGCATTTAGCACAAGACAGGAATGTGGGGGGGGGGTGACCAAAAAGTGGGGAGACAGAAACGGAGGAGATGAAAGAGGAAAGGATGTCCAGGCTAACTGACTCTTTGGAGGAATGCCTCATCGTCCCCTAGCCTCCCCCATCCCTTATCTTCATGACAGAGAAGATAGCTAACCTCCACCTGGCCCTCCATCAGGTCACCTGATTGTCCATCCACGGCCCCTCGCTCCTGAGGGGTTTGGGAGGGAGCCTGGGTGTGTTAGTTAGGGCATTCTGCAAATCAGGCATCAAGGCAGAATCAGATGTACAAGAGGCATATGGGGGGGGAGGGGAGGGGAGGGAGGCCTTTGAAGGCTGAAGAAGGAGCAGGAGAGACGGTGACAGCCGGACTGCAAAGTAGGCATGATGCCTGAGAAAGGAGAGAGAGGATGGGAAGGGCCTGAGTAGGCCCAGCCTCGGACTGCAGGTGGCTCTGAGGAAAGCCTGGCCAGGCCGGGCAGTGGGAGCCCCAGGCAAGACTGCCTGCCAGGGATGCTGCATTGGCTTGGGGGCCGTGCCCAGAGACAGGAGCCTGGAGGCCGCAGGGCCCTGGCTCAAACGGTGCAGCTGATCCCGGAGATGTAGCACCTAGAGGCTCCACGCCCTTCCATGCCCCTCTCCCATGTCCACCCAGAAAGGGGGAAATGAGGGAGAGAAGGGAGTCTTACCCTTTGTGGGTTTGAGCTCACACACTCTGCCGAGCCTCCTGGAGCTGTAAGTCCAGGAGGGAGTCCCCAGCTGGAGTAGAGGGTGTTCTGAGGGAGTGAAGGTATAGGGACCCCTGCAGTCCTGGCTTGGGAAAGGAAGGCCTCCGGTAAATGCCAGCTGGAGGGGGTGAGGAATGAGGGTCCCTGGGGATGGAAAGGTCCCCTGATGTGCCTCTGTCTTGCCTCAGGCTACGGCAACCTGAGCCCCCATACGATGGCCGCCCGCCTCTTCTGCATCTTCTTTGCTCTTGTGGGGATCCCGCTCAACCTCGTGGTGCTCAACCGACTGGGGCATCTCATGCAGCAGGGAGTGCATCACTGTGCCCGCAGCCTGGGGGGCGCCTGGCAGGTGCATGGGCTGTGGGAGTGAGGGGGGGGCTGGGTTACTTCTAGGATGAGTGGGGTAGTGGGAATCAGGAGGCCCGGGGTGGGGGCGGGTCACTGGAGGGAGCAGGGGCTACCTCTGGGGATCAGGGTTACTAGTGGGGATGTGGTGGGACTGGAGGCCGCTGCCCAGAATGGAGGTTATTAGTGATAAAGGGGCATCAGTGGAGAGCACGGGGTAGCAGTTGGCCGACTGGAAGGGTATCAGCCAGCCAAGGTCTTGCCCAGGAACCTGGAGAACACAGACGAGGTGGAGGGGCCCCAACAGCCCCTTCTTGCCGGGAGGGGGCGTATCCCTATCTCCTGCTCAGGATCCCCCGAGGCTGTCTGTTCCCCAAGCACTGGGCAGAAGCCACATGGGGCCTGGGCACTGCATGCACCCACAGGACCCTGCCAAGGCTCGGTGGCTGGCAGGCTCCGGTGCCCTCCTCTCGGGCCTCCTGCTCTTCCTGCTGCTGCCCCCACTGCTCTTCTGCCACATGGAGGGCTGGAGCTATGTAGAGAGCTTCTACTTCGCCTTCATCACCCTCAGCACCGTGGGCTTCGGCGACTACGTGATCGGTGAGAGACCCCTGCAGGCAGCGGGAGGGCGGCTGGGCACTCAGCTGCCTGGCCTCCACTCGCCTGCTCCATTCGCTGGCACCTGTCGTGCGCCAGGCCCTGGCGGGGGCGGGGGGGGGGGGGGGCACTCGGAGGCCCAGAGTCCAGAGGACACAGTCCTGGGAAGGTTCAACCTGCTTTGTTGTGTGATGGGGCTAAAGTCACCCAGGTAAAAAGTGACGACTGGAATTTGAACCCAGCGCTTGGGGCTGGCTATAAGTCACAGTCCTGGTTCTCTTGACAAGCGCTGAAAATGTCCACAGGCTCAACTGTTGTTATGAGAGCTCACCAAATTAAGAGAGTCCCTGACCCGCCCTCCCTGGTCCTTCCTTGTCCCAGGGTCTCTCCTCCCCACTTCACCCCACCTCATGAAACGCCAAGCTTCCCACTGTCCCTGGGCTGAGGGCCATATGTTCCACACCACAGGCCACAGGGACCAGGCTGGAGAGTCTGGGAGACTCAGGAAAACCCAGCCTCCCCCGACCCCTGTTGGCAGATGAACTCTGAGTGCCAGTAAAGAAGGGCTGCGTGGTCCAGAAGGCCCAACATGAGGTTTAATCAGCCATCACTACCCAGTGTGGGCAAGACAGGGGTCCCAGAAGCCACTGGCCTTGCATGATAAAGCTGAGGCAGGTGCCCAGCAGGTGGCAGTGGAGGGACATTCTGTGGGGCCGCAGGGGTGGCTGGGACCTCAGCTCAGCCTCATCCCCCTGTGCTGCCCTCCCCTGAAGGTTCACCACATGAGCAGTGGCCCCTGGCACCACCACCACACTGGTCTCAAGGACCCCTGGCCCTAAATTAGGGAGGAGGCCCTGTCCTTCTTCACATCTATGGAGACAGAACCCAGCCTGGGATATTGAAATGAGGTCTTACCAAAGTAACAAACAGCTAGCTAGCACCTCAAGCCACCTAGAGTGACAACTGTCACCCCCATTTTACTGAGGAGAAAGCTGAAGCTCAGAGAGGCCAAGCCATTTGCCTGAGATTGCACAGCTAGCTAGAATTCTGATTGGCTGACTCCCAGACTCATACTCTTTCCAGACCCCGTCACGCACCCCCTCTGGGGCCTCAGTGTTCCTATATATAAAATGAGCGGTCAGGGCTAGGTGATGGCTGAGACCCCTCCGTGCCTTCTCACCTGTGTTCAGGGTCCCCCCTTCCCTGAACCTCTCTTTCCTTAAGAAGAAGCATCCTGTGTCAGGGGCCTCATGCTGTCCCTTCCCAATAGCTTCAATCCTGGAGGGAGGCTGTTGCTCTGAAAAGAAATTTTTGAGAAGGTTTCTTCCAACTGGAGTGTACCCACCTACCTTCAAAGTGGTGAGACAGGTCTGAGGAGACTTAGCCCAGTGGCTCCAAGGGCCACATCTGTCCCCGTCACAGATCAGAGAGTGATTCTTGGATCTGTCCTCTCCTCTCTGTTCCCACTGCCATCTTCTTAGTCCAGCCAGGCCTGTTGTACACGGCTGGTTATGTAGGTTGGGCACTACACAACCCTAAAGTGTTGCCATTCACATAAAGCACATGGAATGGCACCCATAGATTTGTGAGGCCTGTAACTCTGTCCCCGCCTTGGCTTTTAGGACCTTTAAAAAATTACAAGTGCTATCACGTCACCTGCCTAGGTCCTGCGAAAACCTTCAGTGTTTTCCCATAGTCTTAGGATGGGAGTCCCAAATCCACGGGTAGGCTGGTGAGGGCTATTCTGTGGCTGAGCCCTGCCTCCTTCTCCACTCTGAGCTCTCCCTCTTCCACCCGGCATCGGGGTCACCAGGGGCTCGGCCATAGCAACCTCAACCCAGGGCTATGTGATGTGATGGGTCCTGCACCACCAGGGCTCAGGGCGTGAAACTCGGGATTTGCCCCAACGGTAGTCCTGAACCCAGAAGACCTGGTTCTCTGAGGGTGTCCAGTGCAAGGAGAGGGGAGGAAGAGTGGGAAAAAGGCTCTCAACAACAGTCTCCTGGGGCCTACTGATCACCAGGTCCCCCAAAGTTTGGTCCTGGGTGGGAAGAGCTGACAGCAGGCTCCCCTGGAATCCTGCCTGGAGAAGCCTACACGGGGCTGAAGGGCAATCTTCGTAAGGATGTCCTGAGGCTCCACATTCCTCCGAGGCAGGGCGGATACAGGTCTAGACACAGACACCCTGGGAATGGCAGGAAAGGCCTCCGCCAGCATCAGGGAGGGCCCGCAAGGAGGGCTGATCAGGATCTCTGCTTCCTGCCAGCCACCCCGCGGGGAGTGGCAGGGCCAGGAAGGCTGGAGGATGGGGCCAAGGCTTCCCAGAGTTAGTCCCCTTCCACCGAACATCCTGACTGAGGAGACGTTCAAACCCACGAGGCCCCCGGAAAGACCACTCCCACCCATGTCTCTCCACCTTCTTTGTCCTCCAAGGACAAGGTCAAACCCTTTTCTTGGATGGGAATGCTGAGGTCCACCACCTGGTCTCAGGTGGCCCGTTGTCCCTGTCACAGCAGCCCCGCGGGTGTTGTCTTCATCGCTGTTCCTCTTTTCCCAAAGGCCATGGCCAGAGCAGCACCCCGGTCCCAGCCTCCTGCTCCTCCCTGGCCTCATCCCCCACTTCCCCCAATTGCATTTGCAACGCAGTTGAGCGCCTTGCCAGCTGCCAGATCACCCGCCACTTATGATTTCGGCTAAAAAAAATGAAATGAAATGAGAGAAGGACACCCCCTCCCCTCCGCTGCCAGGAGCAAGCCGAACTGGTGGGTGGCAGGGGCCGAGAGCTGGCTCACCGCTGATCTCATTTGGGACTGCCAGCGGAATCTTGGCCCCATAACTCAATCAGCCTAATCCAATCCCGGCTCCTGCCAGGCAGTGAGGTGGGGTCCAGGGCTGCAGGCTCATTCCCGAGCTGGGGCCCAGGAAAGGGACCCAGGCCTGAATGACAGGGAACAGAGGTTGTCTTGGGGCCAGGAGACAGAGGGATGGGTGGGACAGAGCACGAAGACAGAAAAAGACGTTGAGAGAATAAGAGGACAGACCTCGCCCTTGAACAATCCTGATTTGATGAGGGTGACAAGACAGACCCCTAGGAAAGAAGGAAGAACTGAGTTATGGAGCAGGCTCTTGAAATGACTTATCTAAGCCCTCCAATGACCTCCATCTGTCCCTTCCCTCTGCCATTACTCACCCAGTCCTGATTATGTTTGGGGTGCCGGTGTGGGGATCCCAGAGAGAATAAGTAATTTAACCCAGCAGAAGCACATGGGCTGAGGTCTATCTGCTGGATTAGGGGAAGTTCACTAGGCCATGAGGAAGTGGAAATGAAGAGCATTCTGAGCTGGAAGGACAGCAAATACAAAGGCCCTGGGGCAGGACTGGAGATGGATGGGAGAACAGGAGAAAGCCCGGAGTGACAAGCACAGCACTCAGCAGGGAAAAGGTATGTAAATCCAGGCTGGGGGAGTAGATAAGGGCCTTAGGACTTCATCCCAAAAGCCAAGGGCTTGGGAAGAAAGTATTCTCCTCATTCACAGGTGAGGGATATTCAGACAGATGAAGGTCACACAGCCAGGGAGAACTGGGGCAGGATACAAAATCCAGTGGTTCCACCTGTTGTCCCCAAAGCTCTTGGCAAGTTGCCTCTGTTCAGATATGAGGAAACCAAACACAGAGACAGGCAAACAACAGAGCGGGCATCAGAATCTCTTGGGAGGCTTGTTAAAACAGATTGCTGCACCCACCCCAGGGTTTGCATTCAGTAGGTCTGGAGGGGGACCCGACCATTTACACTTCTAGCAAACTCTCAGGTGATGCTGATGCTGCTGGTCCAGGGACCCCACTTTGAAGCACTGGGATAGAGCACAGAGTCCATCAGAAGGACAAAGAGGAAATGTAGCTTCCAAACTCAACTCAGAGTGTCAATCCAGGGAGGCTTCCTAGCATCCTATAGCAGTGACCACAAGGCTAGCAATCTCAGACCAGTTTGAACTTCCCATATTCTGCTCATATACATCAAGCCATGTGTGGCTGTTTCTGTTTGGGAATGTGGCCTTGACTTTGCCAGACCTCTTTCCTCTGACTTTGCCTCTCCCCCTCAGGGATGGACCCCTCCCGGAGGTACCCGCTGTGGTACAAGAATACAGTGTCCCTATGGATCCTCTTTGGGATGGCGTGGCTGGCCTTGATCATCAAACTCATCCTCTCCCTGCTGGAGACCCCGGGGAGATCATATTCCTGCTACCACCACAGCTCCAAAGAGAACTTCAAGCCCCAAAGCTGGAGGCAGAGCCCCGATGGGGAGGCAGAACCCCGTTTGCCACAGTCAGGCTGCTGTCCAGAGGGGCCTGTGAGAATCATGCAGCATCCAGAACCCTCTACTCAGGTCTCATGTTGTGGAAAGGGCAACTAGTTATACTCCCGTATGCGTTCCATCTTCCTCAGTAACAAGAGCCCTGGCTTTAAGCTTGGCACATAACCACCCAGACTAAAGACTACTTTTTTTTATCTTCCCTTGAGGCTATTTGCAGCTATATGGTTAAATTCAGCCCAATTGAATACACGGAGAAGAATCCTGTGGGACTTATGGCTGACTTTTTGTGGCAGGTAGTGTGCTCCTCTTCACTACTTCCTTTTTCTAGCTGGCTGCAATACTGATATAGTGGCTGGAGCTCTGGCAACCATGTTGCACCATGAGGTAGAAGCCATGTTTGAGATCGGTGACACAGTAAGACAGGAAGAGCCTGGGTTCCTGATGGTTGAAGAGCTTCCCTAACAATCTGGACCGAATACCTTCAGACTTCATTTGTGTGAGTGAAAAATAAATGTCGATCTCGTTTACTACAGTTTTATTTGGGTTTTTCTGTCACTCACAACCACAGCTAATTCTAACTGACCTACGTACCCAGAGACAAAGGCAGCATCTGAGACTGGAACATACACAGAATCCACTCCTTTCCCAGGTGAGTTTGCCCAGGACTGGTAGAAGGAATGGATTAAGGGCTGAAGTTCAAGGCCCCCTTCACGTCCAGAGAACTTCCAGGTAAACTCCCAACGGTCAGGGTTGATACAGCTAATAGGCAGCTGGCCCCAGTCTGGCTGCTGAATCCTTACTCTGTGGCTCCCTCACACCAGGGAAAAGCCAGGGGCAGGCCAGTGGGCTCCTCCTGCCTCACCCTGCCCCGCTGCGTTTGAAGGCGGCAATCACAGTTTGCTAGGCCAGGTAGGGTTTGCAGAGATTCCTTCTTTTTGCAGAGTCTCACCCTGAGCATTTCTGTCTCTCACTTAGGGCTGCTACTAAGGCGGTATACCCCCTACCACACTCAGGTCCCCAAGCCCAGCCAGGAGCCCCTGGCAGTACCAGCTGTACCTGAGGGTCACCAACGGCAGCTGGGTTCTCCACCTCGGTGGATACCTGTGACTTGGCTTCCCTCCACCACATTGCAGGTAGTGAGTGGCACAGGGACCCAGGGGTCTCCATGTGGCCTCTCCCTGTGGAGCCTCAGAGCCCTCCTAAAATTGGATCAAGGGCAGCCTTTTGGCCAAGGAAGAAGGAAGGGTTGTTACACCATCCAACTTGCGCCATCCGGCCTGGCCCTAAGTGGACCAAGGCCAGACCCAGGAACAAATACCAGCGAGTAAACAACAGGGTCTGTGCCCTCTTCCTAAGGCTCACAGGGCAGGCAGAGGAAAACGGAGGTGAGGAAGAGATTGCTGGAGGCCTAGAACTGGCATCCTTGTACTTTGCACACTCCAGAGAGAGGACCCAGAACTCAAACCTGGGAGAGACAGAGAGGCCAGAGTGCTGGGCTGGTTCCCATGGTTCCCACACTGCCTCGCGTTGAGCCCCTTTCTCCCCCTGCCTGGCCTCCTAGAGTCCCTCTCACCTCCATCAAGCCATTTACCCCATGCACACCCCTACCCATGCTCACAATGCCTGCCCCAGAGAGTACCAGCCTGTGGTGCTGCCCATGGGGCAGAGGAAGACTTCTGGTTGGCCAATTGCCTGCAGATGTCTGCTCCATGGCCAATGAGAGGAGTCGCTGCAACCCTGAAGCACCAATCCAGGAAGCGAGAGGGGTAAGATGATGGCAAAAGATAGGATTCAGCAGGCAGAGAGGGAAAGGTTAGGACCTGAGGTCCCTGGGTGGGGAAAAACACGTATTTCAGAACAATGCTGGGAGCGTCTGACCACAGCAAACCCCCTTGGGCGTAAGTTCCCTCTTAAGAATGTAATAGACACCACCTACTCCCCTTCAGGTTCCCTCAGGAATTTGACAAAAGACCTGGCTAAAAATAAGTAGTGGGCCGTAAAACCCATGACCCACAAGGAACGGTATAGCCAAAGACCACCCTCATACAATGGATCGAGCCGATCAGGAATGGACAACCCAGCACCTAGAGTTATCGAGCCAGTGAGGGTAGAACCTGAGAAGGAACGAGGGGGAAGAGAAGGGAGAGCTGACCAGAACCTTATAAAACAAGGACCCTTGCCTACAGTCGAGGTCATTCTCTTTCCAATGTCCCCTCCCTGTAAACAGAGCTTTCCTACCAGTCTTCCTTTCTGATCTTCTCCTCTCCTAAACTTCTGCCTGCCGCTCATTTTGTGTCCACCTCTTCGGAAACTATGGCCTAAGGATGGGCAGCGAGGTCTTTCAGAGGCGAGGGAGGGGAGGTGGGAATGACAGTGGCATGAGAAAGTGTGCGGGCGAGGAAGCAAGTCACTCATTCACTCACACCACCTAGGCCAGGCCACCGAGGCCCTGAAGGCGGAGGCCAGGGGGCCCCTCAGAGCAGCACAGCATAGCTGCTGAGGGCGTGGAGCTCGGAGGCAGCCTACCTGGCTCACCATCTCTGTGACTTGTGCAAATCACTTAACATCTCCCTGCACGGCTTTCTTCCTCTGCAGATGGAGATAAGAGCAGGGCTGATCTCCCGGGATCAAATGACTGCGTAACATCCCAGCAGGGCGCGCATCAGACTGGAGCATGATGCGCCACTCAGCTGGTGGCGCTCCACGGCAGGCGCCTGTGGACAAGGCAGGACGCCAGCACTGCGCAGGCTGGTGGCTACGTGGAGGGCAGGGCCTCTGCTGACCCGTCTCAGGGCTCGGGGCCGGCCAGGCAGGCCTGACTGAGCAAGTGGTGATGCAGGACGGAGCCCTGCCCTTTTGGGGGCTCCCAGGCTAATACCATCACACTGCTGGCCGGGATGAGGGGTCTGCACACGCATGGGTCCCAGGGGAACCTCCTGGCAGAGACCAGGAAGTGCATGTCGAGCGTGCAACTGCAGGGCCAGGGGACCGGCCACAGCTGCTGCCACAACGCTGAAGGGCAGGCAGACCCCTCACACCAGCGGCTGCCCTGCCTTCTTCCTTGGACAGGCTGTCCGGTTCTGTGGCTTCAGCACAGCCAGGGCAGGATCAGACTCACTGTCACATGGTGCTTCCTTCTAAAACAGTGACACCCTTCATCACCACGTCATCATCCCGGGCGTCATCATTATTTCCTAACATTTATTGGGTGCTTATTATGTGCAGGCACTGTTGTAAGCTTTCTGCTTGTACTAAGTTATTTATTTCTCCCCTCAGTGCTGGGAAAAAGAGCTGTTCTTTTTAATGCTGTTTCAAGAGGGGGGAAATGAAATTTTCAGTGGATGCTGAGCAAAGGTAGCCACCCGTCCTGGTGGGTGAGCATGAGAGGTAAGGGAGACTTCCTTTAAGCCCTGTGTGATCTTGACCAGCCACTCCCCCTTTCCATGCCTCAGTTTCCTCATCTGTAAAAGAGGAGGCTGGCTTCAGAGAGTCTGCATCTTACTGCCTCTATTCCCTCAGATTTTGTCTGGATTGTTTTATTGACCACATTTCAGGGAGGGCAGTTCCTGACTCCACCCATATCCTGGGCCATCATAAGCATTTGGATCCAAGGAAATCTCTCCCTGTTTCTGTCTCTGTCTCTCTGTCTCTGTCTCTCTGTCTCTCTCTCTCTCTCTCACACACACACACACACACACACACACACAAAGTTCCAAGGTCCTTCCCTCACGGTCCCTCCAATGCCGGAGGCCTGGCTGGGGGAGGGGTGTCCACTCATTTTAGGAGCTGGCTCAGAGAAGGACTTGACTCAGTAGGAGCCAGAGGACCCCCATAGTCTGGGCAATAGCTACGCTGAGACTCCCCCATCCCCAGTTCCCTCGACCCTTACTTCACTAGGAACCCCCCCCCCCCCCCGGGCTCCAGGCCCAGAGAACACTGGCCTGAAATCGACCCCCTGACCGCCCCCCTCTGCTCACCCCAAACCACCCACACAGCTGGTCACTGGGCCTCTCACCCCCACCCCCCATACACTCTCCATGCTGGGCTCCAGGCCCTGGCCCCTCTGACCCTCCCTCCTTCTCCCCCCAATACTGTGCTATACACTCTGCTATGTCCTGCCCCCTTGCCCTTTGCTGACCAAAACCCATCTCCAGTTCAACAGGGACGCTCCCCCCACCCCACCAGCATGTTCTACAGAAGCGTGAAAGCAAAACCATTCAGACTCACTCCCCACCAGCCACTGACTGAGCTCCCTGTCCCTGTCTGAACCAGACAGGGCTCAGGATCCTGGGATTGGGATCCTGTTCAACCTTTGCCCACATTCCAACCTTTCCACATTTTGTCTCATTTATTCTTCCCTGGATTCAGGGAATCTATACCCTGACCCTACCAATTTCCTGCTTGCTGTGCAACATTTGAGAAGTCACCTAACCTCTCTGAGCCTAAAATGGAAATGCTAATAGCATGCTCAGGAATGTTTTGATGAATGCAGGGGAGTGAGTAATGAATGAGAAAGCACCGTGTTGGATCTGGTACATCACAGGGCTCAGAAATATTTGTTCCCCTCCCTTTCTCTTTTTCTTGGACTGAAGCTCTCCCTGACCCCACCCTCTTTCATCAGGCAGCTCCTGGAGCCCTTCTGCACCCCTTCCTTTCAGAAGATCTCCTAGACCCGCCTACCCCTTGGCCTCCAGTGGGCTGGGGAGGGGCAGGAAGTGAGGTGGGAATGGAGGAAATAAATTTGCCAAAGACAGACTGTAAAGTGAGAGGGTTAGTGTGTGTGTTGGAGGCGGGGCTCCCAGTCCGCCCACTGGCCGACCTCGCGGGTCAGGAAGCTTCCCTGGGGGGTGGGTGTGTGCCTTCCGCAGCGCTCCTTGATAATCTGTCTTGGCTCCTTCTCCCCATCCACTCTCAGACTTTCTCTGAACCCCTGAACCTCCCCCGGGGGGGGGGCGGGGACGGGGTCTGACCCCTGTGGGCTAAGTCACCCAGGCTCCTGTGGGCTTTGGCTTCTGATATGATGAGGACTGTGAGGGAAAGTGGTGGGAGAGGAGGAGGGGAGAGAAGTCGGGGTGTTTGCCCCCTCTCCCAGCAGGCCCTGGTTTTGGCAGTGCTGTTCTTGCCCAAGGGGCACAGTGCCTGTCCTGTTGGCCCTTTTCCCAGGGTAGCAATACTGACTGGGTTCTAGTGAGAGGCCACCCCCCCCCCACCCTTTCAGGACCAGGGGTGGTAATGACTCCCCATGGGGCCCAGTCCTAGGAGCTGCACTGTCACCTGGACTTGCCCTCACCCTCCCTTCATTACACTCTCTGCAAGGAGCCCTCGCCCTAGGGAAATGCAGCCTGCTTCCCGCAAAGACCCCGTTGATCCAAGCCCGCAGTTCATCAGTCCCCCATCCCCCACTCCCTGAGCCGAACCCCAGCCCAGCGGGGGTCTGGAGGCTCAGAACACTGCATTAAAATCACAGAGGAATCAAGCCGGCCTCCCTGATCCAGGAGAGGCTCCAGCTCTTGCTCAAGGG